AAAAAAAAAAAAAAAAAAAAGTACCAAGATTAATTTCTTGTTCTAAATTAGCCATTTTATCTTTTATAGGGATTCTTTCCATGTATTTATTTAGTATTTTTCAAAAAAGTAAAGTTTTTGTTTTGTTTTCTTCAGATACAAACTGCTTCATATTCTGGAATTTGATTCAGATCGTAGGAGAATGAGTGTAATTGTTCAGGCACCTTCAGGTAACAGATCTAAAGTTTTATGAATTTTAATTTATCTAATATTAATAGCTTAATAACTCATTTTTCCTTTTTAGGTGAGAAGTTTTTATTTGCTAAAGGAGCTGAATCATCAATTCTTCCTAAATGTATAGGTGGAGAAATAGAAAAAACCAGAATTCATGTGGATGAATTTGCTTTGGTAAGTACAGATGTCTATATGTTTAAAAACTGTAAATAATATGAATGATTTGACAATTCATTTTTAATAACTGACCCCCAAAAATGGATATTATGCAGTTCTGGTACATTATTTGTTGGCTCTATATTCTTTGTGTAAAAACTGACTTTAATTTGCTAAAGCATAAGTCATCTCTTCAAACCTACTACAGTGAAAGTACTTATGCTTGTAAGGATCACTCAAACTACACTATTAAAAAGGAGTGTTTATTAAAAGAACATGGGAAATTTCAATAATGTGGAGAAACTAGAACCTTCATGCATACCTTGCTGGCAGGATTATAAATGGCACAGCCACTTTGAAAAAGTTTGGCAGTTCCACAAAAGGTAAACAGAGAGTTATGTTAATATATGACCCAACAGTTCTACTCCTAGATATACACCAAGAGAATTGAAAACATATGTCCACACAGAACTTATACATGAATGTTCAGAAGCAGCAATATTTCTAACTGCCAGAAAATGGAAAAACCCAAATGACCCCTGATGAATGGATAGACAAAATGTGCTTTACCCAATAATAGAGTATTATTTTACTACTAAAAGTAACAAAATACTAATATATGCTACAACCTGGATGAATCTTGGAAAGATTGTGCTAAGTAAAAGAAGCCAGTCACTAAAGGCTACATATTACATTTAAATGAAATATTCAGAATAGGCAGATTCATAGAGAAAGCAGATCAGTGGTTGCCAGGGGCTGAAGGAAGTAGATGAAAGGAAAGTTTCTGCTAATCGTTGTTGAGTTCCTTTGGGGAATAATGAAATATTCTAGAATTACATAGTGATGATGATTGCATAACTCTGAACCTGCCAGGACCCACTGATTTGTGCTAATAGTGTGACTGTTCGCATATGTGAATTATCTCTCATTTAAAAAATAAAGGAGGCTGGGTGCCTGTAGTTCAGTGGTTAGGGCATCAGCCACATGCTCTGGGTCTGGTGGGTTAAACCTAGCCTGTTCCTGCTAAGCAAACAACAACAAAAATAGCTGGGCTTTGTGGAGGGTGCCTATAGTCCCGGGTGCCTATAGTCCCAGCTACTTGGGAGGCTGAGGCAAGAGAATTGCTTGAGTTGGAGGTTGCTGTGAGCTATAATGCCATGGTACCCTACCAAGGGTGACAAAGTGAGACTCTGTCTCAATAAAAAAAGAAATAAAAAATGAAGGAATATAGAAGAAACTTATAAAAACAAAGAACCACAATTCACATAACTAGTAAAATTATTGAGCACCTCTCTCAGTGTTAGACCCACACGATCTCTCATTTTTCTATTTCTATAAATGTATGCTCCATGCTCATCTCCACTCAGTTATGTCCTTTATATAGTTTATGAGTTCTTTTCTTCCATTATGGGTTTCCTAATCACTTATGATCTGGTTCATCTACTGCACTATAACATCTGTAAGAACAAAGACATTGTTCTACCTCACCACCATTTTAATATCCAGAACAATACTGACACGTAGCTGGTCCTCAATAATTATTTGTCATGAGATTAATTAATTTATTCATATATAAATTCTTGATGGTCCCTTAAGTATTATTTAAGAGAAACATTTATAGGTATGAGTCATTTATAAACCTGAGAATGCCAGTATTTAGAAATTGACTAAGTAGTATATCGTGTAGTATTTTAAAATCCACCCTTTCAAAGTTCTGTTATTGGAACATTAATTAAGAGTTATTCTAAGGAAACTATATAGCAAGAAAAGGAACTTTTATGAGTGTTCAGATTTAGATAGAAACTTTTAGAGATTAATAGCTTTGAGCTTAGTAGAATCAGATAATTCTAATTTCATTTCACTATTAAAGATACAATATTTAAAATCATTTGTTAAATCTAGAAAGTACTGTTTGTTCAATATTGCCCATTTTATAGACTTCTTTATTTGAATGGCAAATTTTGTCATACAGTGAACCCTCAGGAAATTATGTTCTTTTTTTTTTTTTAAAGATAAACCTGTTGAATAGGGGAAAGTGAATTTTTAAGCTGAAACAGGAGAGTGGAACCTGACGCTCTCTCTCCCTTAACAATGCTAAAAGTATCCTATACAATTTTCTGACTTTCCATTTAACACAATTTTAAAACCACAAATAAGATCCTTTCTAGGTTTTAATATTCTACCATTCAGTGATCTCAATTATTTTTAAGAACTCATCAGAAATTGAAAAAGTTATGATATGTGTCTCATAACTCAGATCACTAGGGCATTAAGACATTTCCATTTCCTGTCACTAGACGATAGTACTTTTTAAATGATTTGTAGTGCATTTTTGATAATAGGTCCTCAGTTTATTTCAGTGACTTCTTCATTTTCACAAGTTATTTGTGTTCTTTTTTTTTTTTTTAATCTCAGAAAGGGCTAAGAACTCTTTGTATAGCCTATAGACAATTTACATCAAAAGAGTATGAGGCAGTAGATAGACGCCTGTTTGAAGCCAGGACTGCCTTGCAGCAACGGGAAGAGAAATTAGCAGATGCTTTCCAATTTGTAGAGAAAGACCTGATATTACTTGGAGCTACAGCAGTGGAAGACAGGTAAGTATCAGATAAGTAAGCAATAACATTTTTCTCTCCTAAGAAAAGTTTCTAAGATATGACAAATTCTGTTTATTAATATTCTACAACTTAATATTTTTAAAATCAGCATAGAGAATTAAAGCCTTAATTTTTCCTAGTCAATGTATACAAACTTTGTTTTAGCTGAAATAGATGAAAAAGCAGGCTACCTATAATTTTCCCTATAGGCTTGAATTTTTAAAATACCCCTCACTGGCCATGCAAAGACTTTAACCACCTGCATAATTCTTCAGCCTCACCTCCCACGACTGTCCCCTCCTACTTTGTTTCAGTAATACCAAACTGTCTGTGGTTTTCCTCTGCACACCAACTCTAGTTAAAACTACTCTACAGGGTTTCCCAAGTCTCCCATAAAATCACCATACATAGGGGAAAAATGGGACATTATAGCTAAGGGTACCTTTATTTACAAAATACTCATCACAAAAAATATTTATAAAATACACTCTACATGTTAGCCTTCTCTTGGTAAAATTATGTAATGAATATTTTTTAAATGTGCATTTAGCCACAACTTCCCATTTCCTCTATGCATGGTAACTTTTATGGGCAACTTTTGGGTGTCCTGTGTACAGTTGACTATTTTAAACTGTACATGAACTTTATGGACACCTTATATTTTGTCCCTGTGTTCCTTGGGAAGGCTGTGCCTTTGCCTGGATGATTCTTCCCTTCCTTATCTATCTGTGGATATCTATTCATGAAATATAGCCCAGATGTTAGCCCTACTCTAGTAAGACCTTTCCTGACATCTACCTGGATAAACCTTTCTTTGTGAAGTCTCGTTGTAGGTAGTTCTGTTGCAGTCCTGTGGTGCTGTCTTATGAGCATATATTTAAAAACTCCTCCATTAGCCTGTGAATTCCTTGGAAGTCCATTTATTCCCTTTGTTCCCCAGCATCTAACTCAATATTTACTTCACAGTTTCTTGAATTAAATTCAATTCTGTGAGTTAAAATAAATTCTACAAATTAAGCTTGTTAGTATGTTTTCCTCCACACACCATACGTGCAAGGGTGTATGCATTTTTTTTTTTTTTTATGTAGGCTCTTATTTACTTTTCAGCTGTCCTCATGAGATTTCCCAGACTTTAGGTAAAGTCATATGGTCCTTTATTTCCTTTATTTTTTCTGTGATCTTGTATTTTCAGGTAAATGAATGATGTGAGAGATTTTCTTATCAAAACAAAAAGAAAACAACTGCTTTTTTTTTTGAGGAAAGGTCTGTATGCAGTATAGTCATAGCTCTCTGTAACCTTAAAACCCTGGTCTCAAGCAGTCTTCCTGCCTCAGACTTTTGAGTAGCTAGGACCACAGGCACATATCACCAGGCCCAATTTTTTTGTTTCGAGTAGAGTTGGGGGTCTCAAAGTGTTGCCCAGGATGGTCTCAAACTCCTGGCTTCAAGCAGTCCTCCTGCACTGGCCTCTCAAAGTTCTGGGATTCTAGGTTTGAGCCACTGATCCTGACTAAAAAAATCTTCTGATTTGAAATGTAAGACTTCCTAATCAAATAGTACTTTGAAGATAAACTCTGAAAATATGAAATTGTAGATTTTAGTTGGCTGGTTTTGTGTTAACCAGATGATCCATAATCTGTTTATTCTTGTTTCTTTCCTAATGGGAGAAAATGTCACCTATTTGTCTATATATACATTCCTAAGTCAAGGATTTTTGAATTTACCTTACATATGCTATGTGGTTTATAGTTGGCATACAATCAGAAAAGTCTTCTCTTTTAAAAAAATATTTATGTAAATGTAATGTGGCAGAAAAATGTATGTTATGCTATGTGGTTTATAGTTGGCATACAATCAGAAAAGTCTTCTCTTTTAAAAAAATATTTATGTAAATATAATAATGTAATTATTATATTTATTGCCTAGGCTGAAGTTACAGTAGTCATGGCTCACTGTAACCTTGAACTCCTGGGCTCAAACAGACCTCTGATCTTATCTGGAACTCTACATATAGGGATATACTACCAGACCCAGCAGAAAAGTATTACCTACTATCAATTTGTTTCTTTTATTTTCAGATTACAAGATAAAGTTCGAGAAACTATTGAAGCATTGAGAATGGCTGGCATCAAAGTATGGGTACTTACTGGAGATAAACATGAAACAGCTGTTAGTGTGAGTTTATCATGTGGACACTTTCATAGAACCATGAACATCCTTGAACTTATAAATCAGAAATCAGACAGTGAATGTGCTGAACAGTTGAGGCAGCTTGCCAGAAGGTAAGAACACTGGTCTCTGTATCATGCAGTTCTGGGGTGACCTACGGGACAGATGTCTGTTTTTTATAGCCCATAAGCTAAAAAATAGTTTTTACATTTTTTTGGTTAATGAAAAGGAATCCAAAGAAGAATAATATTTCATGAAGTGAAAATTTATGATATTTAAATTTCAGTGTCTGTAAATAAAGTTTGATTGGAACCCAGCCGTGTACATTTGCATATTGTTAGGAAGTGCGCCTGTAGGACAGCTCCAGAGTCAAGTGTAGCGGCAGGCCTTATGTAGTACTCTTCTCATCCCTGCTGCTTGACTCACGAGAAATTACAGTGATACATTTGTGACCTGATAGTGTCTTAAGTGCCATGC